TGGCAGGGAGGGTTTTAATGAGCAGGTGGCTTTCACTTGATCCAGTATTCATGAATACTTTCCCACCATGAGCTCCAGTGTACTTGTACTTGGGTGCAATATGTCCAGTAATGACCAGAGCAGGTAAGTGCTAAACTTCTAGTGAAGAGATTTGCATATTTGCAGGATGAATGACTTTTCTCTAATAGTTCAGGGACAGGAACTATCATGAAAACAGGCCTCCAAAAGACTGCACAGTCTTGTCTCTTCTGCTTGAACAGTGTTGTGGTGCCCTGAGGGCTTTTTTCTTTGTCTGTAAAAACTTGATCATATTTCAGAGTGCAAGTTTCCATTGGATGCTTCAGCAAGAGAGTCTTCATGGAAAACTTGGGCATTTTCAGAATATTTTCTGTTGATTAAAATTTATGCAGGCAGGCTTTTACATAAAAGAATGCAGTCTGAGGAAAGTTAGAAGCCCCCAAACTAAAGCACTGAGTAAGTCAGTGGCTGGGCATCAGTGATGTTGAGATGCCTGTTTGAAATGTTTTTGAGTTGTGAATGAAATTTCACCTCATGTTGACTGTGGCACACTCAGAGATATCCATGTGTGGGTTATTTCTTGGGAGGTCCTTTTCTGCACTCTTTCTTTCCAGTGTAGCTGCTTTCAGCAGCTTTCTGGATTGAACAATTTGCTTACAGTCTCTTCTGGAAGTCATCTTTATATGGTCTCGGAGTGTGGGCCTGTTCCTTTCAGCAAGGAGCCCCTTCCCAGCTTTCCTTAGGCATCTTCTGAACTGATTCCTGCTTCCATGGTGCATTTACTGCCTCTCTTGCCGTCAGAAACAAACCCCAGGCTGGGTTTGCTCGGTTGCTTTGGTGGACATGCCCCAGGGGCAGCTGTCAGGACAAGGTGGAAAAGCCACTTTCCTTCCTCCTCCCAGCCCAGAAATATGAGTGGGTCACCACCACTTGCACAGTAACTCGAGGGAATAAAATAAATATCTTATCTGTGCTGAGATTATTTAATGTGCTGAAGGAGAATGGGCTTTTGTCAGGACAGAGGAGTTGAAGAAAATGTCCTGAGTGCTTTGGAACTTCGCATTAATATTATCTGTTGGTTTGTTTGGTTTTTTTAAAGTTAGATGTCATTTACATGCACGTGTTAATTAAAAGAGCAATGGGTGCTGTGCACTGACTCCATAAGTGTGGAATCAGAGTGTTGACACGGGCAGCCCTGCGACTGTGGGAGCAGAAAGGCAGCGCTGCTTGGCCGAGACCTTTCACTGTGGTTTCAGTGGTAAAAGAGATATCTAAGTTTCAGCCTCCTCAATTACAAGGCAGCTCTGGATTCCCAGTTTTCATTAGTAAAAACAAGAAAGATACGTGAGTTGGATTTGTTGCTTCAAGTTTGGCTTGGGAGCCTGATTTCCAGCGCACCAGGACGGTCACATTTGAGCTGTTACATGAGACCTGAAGTTCAGCCACAGATTAATATATTCTGTTTCATGGCCAAATAAATTATTCCATATGGAGCTGTCTTCTGGCCTGCTTCTGATATGCAAGCTAGCTTGATTAAAGCTAGTGTGGGGCTCTCTCCCCTGAATTACAGTGTAGATAAACCATGCCTCCCTCTTTCCAATAGCCACAATTTGTCTTCTCCCTTCTGCCCTTGCAGGCCACATATGGACAGAAACAAAGGGCAGTATTTTAATAACAACTGCAATGTTTTTGCTTTTTAAAATAATTTGCTAATCAAATTGAAAAAATATTTTCCTCCTTCAAGGGAGAATCCCCCCCCCTACACTGTCTTGCACAGAGCAGTGAAACGAAGCCTAAGTGGGAAGCTCTGCCTCATCTCCCTGCATTTGGAAGCCTCCAGATTGATTTGATTTATTATGGCCCACAAAACTCTGGTATCAGCTACAACTTCTGCCACGTGTCATCAGTGTTGTTACTAAAAATCAATTCTCCAAAGAGAAAATGGTTTCCAAGCGACACTATGAAATCTGTTATTGTCAGTTATTTATTATCCGCGCTCCCAGGGGAACTTAAAAGGGAAAACATCAGCAAAACAATTTCCACATTTTTTGTGATAAAAAGAATACAGGGATCTCATTACCTTTGACTGTACATGCCTTTGGAGGTAGCAGAGCCTTCTCGTGCAGGTTTCTGTCTGCCAAATTACGTTCTCTTTATTTTGGCCTCTACAGTAAATACAGTAAATATGTCTTTGAAAAATCAGAATAATCATGCATGTATGCTGCAACTGGTCTTTGACAGATATTTCATCCTGTCCTCCCTCTCTTACGCTTTTCAGCACAATCCCAGCTGACAAAACTGCAGAGTCAACATGTTTATGTCTAAGCCTTAATATCTATCGGTGTTTACACAATCAGGCCTTTAATCTTGGTCTTCACATGGTTTATCCATAATGGCAGCCCAAGTGTGCTGAGGACCACACGACACAGAGTCTGGAGAATTCTTTTAATAAGCAGAAGTTGATTTCAGTAAGTTTTTGTGCCAAAGCTATTACAGTGAAAAATTGTGGGTTTGTTTTTCAGTTCATTTGTCCAAAGCTAGTCTTCTTAGAAATTAAATGTAAACAGATAAAGGAAACTGAGATTGAGACAAATTTTAAATATTGGAACTTTCTGGAAGACCTGAACAGATTATTTTAAAGATTATTTTTATTGTGTAATCACATATTTTTATATGGGATTCAGTTAAGAGGCAAAGAGCAGAAATCAAAATACTTTTTCAGGTCACTAAAGAATTTTTCCATATTAGATTTTGGGGAAAAAAGAATAAAATGATCTACTGGATATTCTACTCAGATGAGATATTCTACTTTTGCTGAAAGCTGATGGATATTTACTGCAGTTCAAAACTCAAGTAAACAGTAATATGTGTGATGATAAAGCTCCCACTAATATTCTTTGGGCACAATGTTGGAACTGATTTTTGGAATACAGTTTAACTGCTGGGTGCTGCACTGATTTGACCTAACACAAATATTTGGTTGGTTTATTATCATTATTATTTTATTTTGCATCACAGAATGACTACTTGTGCCTGTCCAGACGATCTGTAAAAGCTCTGCAGTTGTGCCCATGGAGCAGGGACACTGAGGCTTTCCCACTTTCCCCGGCATCCGAGCTGTGCTGGTTCCTGCGGGGTTTGGCATCCTCAGGGGTCACTGTCAGGGTTTGCCCCCATGGGATGTGGCTCTGTGAGCTCAGCCAAGCCTTTGGCCACTGACAAAACATCCCCCCTGTGCCTGCAGTAACCCAATGCTGTGGACAATGGGCTGGCAAGGCAGGACGTGGGAAGGGTTAGCGAAAGAAAAACAGCCCAAAAAACCCCAGCCCAAGAGGATGTGCTGAATTCATTTCCCTCCCTGAAGACAAAGGAATAAGTTAGTGAGATTAAGTTTTGACTTCAAGAGTTAGTGTGTTTTGTTACCCTGTCCTCCAGATGAGATCCACATCACCTTAAATCCACACCCCTGCTGCTTACCAGTGTTTAGACAAGAGGATCCCTGGAAGTTGTGCTTTTGAGGGAGAACACACACATCAGTGTGTGGGCTTTAGCTGTCCTAGTGTTGAAAGATTTTATTTGGCCATTTGCTTATAAGGATTTTTGATATAAAAATGAGCTCCTGTTGGTGATCCAAGAGCAAAAAGATTGTGTTGCACTATTGAATTACCTTGCCACTGTTTATTATTGTGAGTTTTAAGTTTGTTAGCATTTGTCATTTCGTTTTAGCTGCCTGGGTGATGGTGTTGCTGACATGATTTTTTTAATTAAAATGCAGGCATTTGCATCCGTGAAACGTGGATCTCAAACATCAGTGTTTGAGATATGTAATAAAGCCAGTCATTTTTAAATGGGTTGTTGTTTTTGCTGGGATTGTCTTCTTGCTGATAAGTGGTTATGTCATTCTTCAGCTTCTCTTGGAAGAAGTTTCCAGTACACCTAGGAAAGAAAACGTCCCCCTTCACAGAACAAACACAACTGATACAACATGAAGATAAATATAAGTTCTGCTGTCTGTTCACAGAGAACCATCTTGCAGATCTTTAAGCTTTTAAAAGATCAGAAATTAGGAATGGCTGCTTATTTAAATGTACTCACATCACTGAAGTCTGAAGGAAGGAACCTTTTGATGACAAGGCCTGATTTTGCATCCTCAATGCCAACAAAACCACTCCTTATTTAATAGCTGCGGGGTTTGTCTCAGTCAGTTGGTCGTTCTGTATAGAATTAGAGTGTGTTTTATCTGGAGTTACTGTGTGGGAACTCATATCCTTCCTGTTCCTGGTCAGATTAATTGCTTGGAGATCCATCCTTTTATATGCCAAGTTATTACTAATAGCCAAAACCAAGGTGTGCTTAAAAGAAAATTTCAAAATCAGGATGTGGGGAGGGGAAGCTTTTGGCACACTGGCAGTGAGAACTGGAGAGAGGTGCCAGCAGGATAACTGCTGCAGTTTTTGTGGTTTTATGCTCTGTAGAAGGACATTGCAGCACAGTGAGATAGAAAATGCAGCTGCAACGAGCTGTGAAATGGGACTGTGGTGACGTTGCTTGTGCTCACATAGGTCACAGACTCAGGGATACAGGACAAGGAGGATCTTCCCCTGGCAAATTTGTCTTTCCTTGCTGTGTGTGCTGACATAAGGCAGGGTGTAAAGGTAAAATTCATAACAGTTATAAGGCATCATGTAGGTCCTGGTGCAGCTTACAGTGGTGTTAGGGAAGGAAGGATGCAAAAAGAGGTGCTTTTGGTTTCATTTGGGGCTCTTGTGTTTTTCTGTGGGTCTAGATTTGGTTTATTCTAAATCAACTTAGTGTTTTGAGAATATGTACATTGACAGAAATAAAAGGTGTGATTGCATTGTCAACAAATCACCAGGTAAGTTAGAAAATAAATGACTCGAGGGCAAGAGCTGCTACAAAACTGACACACAGCAGCCTTCTGTTTTCCTGCCTCCTCTGCCATGTCTGGAGCACTGACAGTAATTCCCATTTATGCTTCCCTGTGTAACCCACACATAAATGTATTCCTTAGAAAAGAGATAAAGTGGATGCTTAAGTTGCCCTGGAAACAGGGGAGAGCTCTTGCACAAGGGTCCTGAAAACCCTGCTAGAAAAATGTTCGTTTCTTTGCACAGGGTGAATAATGTCCTAAAACAACCAATTTCAAGTAGCACAAATGTACTTGTCAATTGGGTTTTAAAAACACCACACATGGAGGTATTTCCTACTGTAAGAATGGGAAACTAGAAGGGGAAAGCACAGCTATATTTACCCTCGGGGACCCTTGCTCTCTCCTAGGATCTTTCTGAAGTCAATATTTAATTTAACTTTCATAGTTCCTATTTTCCCTGTTCTGTTTTTGCTGTGTTTCTGGCCAATGGGATTTTATAAGAGGACACAGGTCTGGATCTGAGGGTCTGCTTGTCATCAATACGTTTTTAATGGCATAAATAGTATGTCACCTCTTTAATTTACAGCCGTAGTCACCAACCATTCTGATTGCATCATTGTTGTAAATGCCGGCATTCAGAAGTAGAAGTAATAAAGCATAAAGTGTGGAAGCTCAAGAGTTGTGAAGCTCATAGAAACTCTCAAAGAAACAGAATTAAATACCCTTTTTAAGCATTAATCCTTTTACTTGTGTAGTAAAGGGAGCAGGGAGCAGACAAAATACTGTGGTTTGATACCTTCCGTCTTCTCTCTCTTCTAGGACACTCCATGGAAACGATATTTCCAGTGTTCCTGAAGGTTCCTTCAATGACCTAGTATCCCTGTCCCATCTGTAAGTACTTCTGCCTGGGTTCATCTGTTTGATTGATGGTTTCAGATTTATAAACCAGTACACGTTATTAGCAATTTAGGATTGCGTAGCTTTTCTGGGTTTCCTGCTCACTTTTCATATTGTGCTCTGGATATTCATAGTGCATCTGTTCAAAAGAAACAACACAAAAAAAATATACTAGAACGTGTTGTTATTAGTTATAAAAATATTTTCTTAAGGAAAACCAAATGAGCAAGTGTGACAGTTTCCTTCTCTGTGGGCTTTAAGGTTCGTGTTGATGTGAAATGCAGAGTGTGTTATGGTCTGAGAGTGAGACAGGAAACCTCCCACAAAGAGCAAATATTAAGCAAATGTGAATTCTTCCCTTAATAAGTGTCATATGTTTTGCATACTGGAATGTTGTCGGTATATGAACTTGTTGATGAATCACTACTTCAGACACATCTATTTAATCACTTGAAAATTGGTCATTTCACAGCACTAATACTTCATTCCGTAATTTGCAAAAATTATTAGACATTTCAGGAAATTACTGTTGTCCTGGTGGAGGTCCAGGATATTTTTAAATGCAGTTCAGTTGTTGAAAGAACTGTACAGACAAATAGCTGCAATGGCTACAAACTCAACCTGAAGTGTTGCAGTTTGTGCCAGAAAAGTGACCAGACAGCGCTTTTTCAGTGAGATAGCGTGTGATGCTTCTCATTATTAAACCATACATGTAAAGGAAAAGTGATTTTGTGTAGCATGTTTCTTGATTACTGTCCTCAGGTTATCAGAGGCTTGGGCAGGTCTTGGTCCCTGTGGGAAGTGGACGAGTTTCACAGGCTCATATGGGTGTTTTCTGCTCTGGTGCTGGTGGACACACACATTGAGACATACAAACAGTTATGTGTGCATTTAGCATAGGTTTAAATCTATCTTTTATCGCTTTGCAACCTCCAGCGTGCCCTCCAGAACAGTTCCCTGGAGATAAGATTCAGTTTGTATTTACATATTTTCTCTATAGAAGGTATATCCTCAGACTGTGTGTTTCTGTGTGGCAGCTTTCTGCCTCTGTTTCTCTCTGGACAATGGAAATTAAAAATAGATTGGTGGGGGCAGAAATCATGTGAGCAATCTGGGCAACTTGAGCTGAGAAATAACCCTATTTGTTTCCAGCTTACACCTTCATATCATTTGATTTGCACAAAATGTATTTGTTTTTCTCGTTCCCAGTATAGTCAAGTCATTTTGTGTGTTGTTTAGACTGAGCTGAAGCCCTGTGCCTCCTTTTGGAAGTGCACTAACACCTTCCATACTGGGGATCTGGCTTCTGGGGGTATTTTTAGAATAAGAGATAAACATATCGTGCCCCATTTGTTTGGATTTCCCTCGGGGTTCACTTTAAATGAAGTGCAGATACAGTTTTCCTGGGTAAACTGGTCACCTTAGGGAGTGATAAAACCCCCTTTGGCCCAACACAATCTCTGCAGTCTGTCTGTTTGGATATATGTGCTGCCAGAAATGTAAAATACACAAGGCTCAAATGAACAGTAATAAATAGGATCCATAAAATAAATAAGACCTGTCTGGGGTGTAATTTGCACAGTTGAACAGTTGAATTTTACAGTGCAATTGTGCTCTCCAGTTTCTTAAAGAGGATCCTGAAACTTTTAGCAACCACGATGGATTTGTTCTTCACATGCCAGAAAAAGCTGTGCTTGCTCAAGCTAAGTCATACATAATTGAAAATAAATGCATTTTGAGCTCTTCCTCATATATAGGTCTTCAAGGAAAGAGCATGCACTTGGAGTCAGTTTGAAAATTATACAAGGAGTTGCTACTCATTGAACTCTTAAAGCAGAGGAGAAGGAAGTTTTATCTTAAGTGCTCAAACTGTGTGCAAGAGTGGGATAGGTGTTATGGCAGAGAGGTGAGTACCAGGGCTTTGAGCCTGGGCTTCCTTTGTCAGCAAAATTAACCCTTTAGAATTGCAAAGGGGTATTTGTGTTGCACAGACAAAACTTCTGGGTTTAGTCAGGGTCTTTTGTAACAGCTTTAAGTTGGTCTGTAACTGGAAGAACAAAACTGAAATCTAGATACTTCCATCACTTTCTCCACAGCTGTTTAAAGAAAATGTTCATTCCATTTCCTTTGCATTGTAAAACATTATATGACTGTAGTGCAAATATTGTAACAAACTCTGCAGCTGATACAGCTCAGTTTGTATGTGCTGTAAACCCACTGCTTTTGTTTACTATTTATTACTTTATTTACTTGAGTCACACAATTGTCTATTTAAACCATGACTCTACTAAATTTTGTAGTCCGTGCCAAAAATGTTACAGCACTCCTGGAGGATCAAGTGTAATATTACTGAATATCAACACAAAATCCGCTGGGGTGGAACTGAGACCTTTTGAGTTAGGTCAGTTCCTGCACTTGTCCTCACCATTCAGACATCACCCAGCTCTGCTACTGAGTCAGTGTCCCAAACACTGCCCACACATAACCTGCCCCCTGGGCATTCCAGGGATTCCACAAACCCTTGGTAACAGGTGCTGGGGACAGCAGGTATTTCCAACATATTTCCTATAAACAGCTCAGATTCCTAATCCTGGTGAATCGTGTCGTCTTTACTCAAATTTACATTAATTACCTATTAAAATAACCCTTCCCCTTCTTTGTTTTTTGTTTGTTTGTTTGTTTGTTTTTCCCACATTATCATGGATGAATTTATTTTAATGGACTTTACTGAGTTGCCTCAAACCAAAACCTGGCCAGCATTTGAAAATGCTGCTGGTGGTATTTCATTACAGCACAAGATATTTTTACCTTCTGGAAACATTTTGCTGTAATGTGCAAAGAAATTGAGAGAATATGTTAGAATTCATGAATGAAAATACAAGAATTTACTGGAGTTTCTAGAAATAATAATAATTAAAAAAAAAAAACACACTAAAAAAAACAGCCAAAAAAACCCCCAGCAAAGCACAAAACACAACCAGAAGAACAGGAGGATACATGTAATAATTTCTGCAGTTGTCAACAGTGTTATTGGGAATAATTTCTAGTGTCTATAGAGCAGTTTTATTTCTAATGTAGTTTATAAATATTAATTGACATGGTAACTAGCTCTCTGTTGTCCTCCCACTCCCATTTTTTATATGGCAGTTGCTTAATGCTGAAGTTGATTTCTCAATCCAGCTTTCACTGCTGCATTTTATTTGACCTTGGACAAGTGAGCCAGTTGATCACAGTTATAGGGTCAAAAAGCCAACCCAGTAGTTTTTTCCCATTGCAAGCAATGGATTTACAGGAGGAGTGGTTGGATATTTTTTAATGCTGTGCTGCAATACACATTTAATTTTGATGAATGAGGTCCAGACAGGGTTTGAACCTCTGAACTCTCATTATGAATCTGTCTAGGGCACAGTGGGTTCATTAGTCACTCCAGTAGAAATGAATCAACAAATTTACTGAGGTTTCTATCTTAACATCCTGTCTGATATGTTTTTATTTGAAAGAAGCTTCAGTTTAAAGTACCATCTTAAAAATAGTTTATAGCATATGCAGAAATTTTAAAGTCTAAAACCCAATTTGAATTACTGGTTTCTCTACTATCTCTTCCCTGTGCTAATCTTTATTTAGTTCATTTTCTTCTAATGGCAATTCAGGTGTTTTATGGCTAATGTCTTGTGTTTGCTTTGAGCAAAATAAATTCAGACATTCAACATGCATTTCTTCACACTTTCAAAAATCATTTGAACTGACTTTTTTGAAGTCTGGATTCTGTCTGTAATTGACTGATTGCCTGAAAAGACACTTTCTCTAAGAGAAAGAGAAGTATAAATGATTCAAGGCAGCACCTAAATTTAAGGTGAAAAGGTTTGTTTTCTTTTGGATGGATGTCCATAAATAAAGAAGTTCTGAGAGTTATCATTTCACCATATAAATGCGTCTTCTTCAGCTATATGACCTAACTCAGATGAAGGGTTAAGCAGCAAATGTGTTTTCAAAGCCATAAATAAACTTAGCAGACACCAGGGTACAGTTCTGAAAACTGAGGTATCCTCTGTGTGTGTCTCATCTGGAGAGGAGTCATTAACGTGAGTCATCAGGTCCAAACTGAATTACACAATTCACTGCTTGAATATGCTCAGGAAGGACAAAGAATTAAATAAAGGAAAGCAATGTGATAAATTTTATGAAAGCAATGTCTAGTAGCATTGCTGGAGCGCAGTTGTTTAAAAAAAAAAGGGACTTCTTGTTAGGTATTTTATAACTTCCCTACCTATAGTGACGAGAACACTTCCCGAATACTCACCGGATCTTTCCCGCAGGACAAAACGTGCCTCGGCGAGGTCAGAGCTGTTGTCTTTGCCAAGTAACCTCTGCTAATTGTTCTATCCCCCAGGGCCCTGGGCACCAACCCCCTGCACTGCGACTGCCACCTGCGCTGGCTCTCGGAGTGGGTGAAGGCCGGCTACAAGGAGCCCGGCATCGCCCGCTGCAGCGGCCCCGAGGCCATGGTGGACAGGCTGCTGCTCACCACCCCCACCCACCACTTCCAGTGCAAAGGTAGGAGCCATCCCCGAGCTCCCTGCCCTGTCCTGCTGCCTTCCCCCACAGGCACGGCTTCACTTTTGTGCTCTTGGGTTTAGGGTGCGCTTGAGGGCGCGTTGGGTCTGGCTTTTGCTTTCTGAGCCATCACCGTCCTTCCATTTTGCATTTCCACGAGGTGCAGTTATAGCAGTAAAGCCAGGGAACCTCGCTACATGTATATATATATATTCCTGTTGCTCACACCAGATTATACCATGGCACGTTAGCACATGGAATGCTAGAACTTATTGGGGCAAATAGATCGGTCTTGGCCTGTGACCTACCCCAGATAACTTGGGTAAAATAAGTTACTTTAAAGTGTAGAGCACTCTAGTTATCAGATATACATGCACTTGAAAACTGAGAAATCTTCTAGAAAGCAATGTTTAGCTAAGGCACATTTTAATTTGCACATCTGCAAGCTGTTCTCATCAGCGCTGTATCAGAAGCTGCAGATTATGGAAAACTTGTCATGTTTGAATGGAGTGTACATTGATTCAGGAGAGGGTTGAGGTGCAGCTATGAACCATGAGGGGTACTCAGTGACAGGAGTGTGCTGCACTAGAGAGCAGTCAGACAACCAAAAAGGAGCACACTTTTTTATAGATAAAGTAAGTAGCTCATTAGTGACTGAAGATTTGGACATACCTCTGTGTTCTCATCGTAAAAGAAGAGGTTTAGGAGGTCTGCTTAGGTTACCAGCAGGTACTTGAAGGTGGAGGTGTATTTATAGTGGAAAAGATGGCTCAGTGGCCTCTCTTAGAAATGGAAATGAGGGCATAAAGCCTGTTTTTATGTGTCTCAGAGTGCCATGCACATTTACAGTACTGCTTGGCAGGGTGATTTTATAGATGCTGGGATTAAACTGCTGAACAAACAAATAAAGGTGTTGAGGTGGGTTTAGAACACAGGTTCCCAAGGCTGAGCTGAATTTTATGTCCTTTCAGGTATATCCTTAATAACTGTAACCTTATAATTTAATTACTTTGAAATTTCAGTCTCCAAACTATCAGAACTCTGACTGTAATTATCAAACTACAACCTTTACAGTGGTCTCTCAAACGTGAAGTACAAATACACTCTAAGTAGTAAAAATATCAAATAATGCACTTGTTCCCATGAAGTGAACCACAGAAAATAATTGCATTTATATATTAAACAGGATCTGTAAAGTAATCCAGAAAGAGAAGCTGGATGCTTTCTTCATTCTGAAACCAAGATATATCCATAGTTATGCTCACTCTCTCCCAAAACTAAACAAGCAGCTCTTAGGCTAGAGAGAAGTCTGTGATCCAGGATATTAAAATTAGCTGTATGGTTTTTTGTAAATATTATTTCAGTCCACTAGAAAGGTGGTGGACTTCTAATATCCCAAAATGGGACTTTCTACTGTCTCCATGCCTTTCTTTATCTGAATAGAAAAGAGGGGAAAAGTGTTGATTTGGAGCTGGTCTGTGGGCAAGAAGAAACTGCTGATGGTCTGGACAAGTGGTAGCAGAGTCCAAGAAGCTCCAAGCCCTAGGAAAATTCAGCTTTGCTCATCACAATACATACATTTTGAAAAACAACACGTGATTTGGTAGTCTTACTGCACCCATTTCCCCTGTGCATGTTTAAGGCTCATGCTGTCCTGTCTGGGTGCATGTGCAGCTCCAGTTCTGGAGCTTAGGGAGTGCTGAACCCTCTAAATCCCCGTGTCACTGTGGCAGGAGTTGGCCCATCCTGAGCTGGGTACTTTGAGATGCAGTGTAAAGGTCCTGCACAGATGTCCTCTGTGACCTCCAGGAACTTTTATATATATATATAAAAAAAAAAAAAAAAGAAAGCAGTTTAACTTATTCTTGTTAAAAGCGTGTTTTTAGCCTGTGACTGAGCAGGAGGTTATGTCTCAGCAGAGCCAAGAAAATAAAAGTGTGTAATGTGCAAGTCATGCAAACTCAGCTCTGTTTTTTATTAACTTGCCCTCCCAGCTATGCAGTAGAGGAAAGGAATGTGCTGGGCTGAGGGCATTTTGCTATATGGATTTATAAATCAAATCCACAAGGGCAAACTAATGAACTACTTAACTGCTAGGAACTAACACTGTTCTTATTAGCTCCTACATTGATTAGCTTTGATCTATGCTACAGGAATAAATGGAAAATGTATGTGTGTGTGTTATGAAATAAATAAATAATAGAACAAATTCTTGCTTACTGACCTCTAAATCTGGAAGAGCAGCACTGTTGCCTGGCTCAGGAGCTCTCCAAGGAGCTACCTTCGTTTATTCTTTGTATATTTTACCATCAGCACACAAGTAGCTCAGATATGTCGCATTCCAGCCCCTGTCAGTGCCAGAAATTCAGGTGTGATTTCCTCTTGCTGCCCCAGCTCCAAGGTAAAAAGGGGGGCATTTAGTTAGATATAAGCACAAAGACAGAAGAGGATGACAAACAGTTGTTTATTAGGAGGTTTTTTTTGGATTTGTTACTTGTTTTGTGTTTTTTTCCTCGTTACTGAGTGCCCTGAAGGCACCACCATCAGTGCAGGACTAGGGCACAGCCCTTACCTGGCAGGGGCTCTTCAGATGAGACCCCTTGGTTCCCATTTCTGCTGTTCTTACCCCTGTTGGTGCTCTGCAAGTGTTCAAAGTGAGCAGAGAAGGTTTTTAGCTCATGCAGGACGATTCAGAGCAAATGCCTGACTGGAAGGGCTTTTTCATCCCTAGTTCTGTTAACTCTGGAGCTCCACCTTCTCCCAAACATCAAGTCATCAAGTATAAACTTTTTTTCATTTTCAGGATGTTTCATAATTTACTCCTGCTTACTACTTACAATGCAATATCAGAAGCTCTGTGCCCACTTCTGATGAGTACAGGACCTATTCTAAACTATTTTAAAGGATATTTCCTTAAAAATGAAACAAAATTATTTTAATATTATTTGATATCATTTAAGCTCTTTTAAAGTACTAGGTTTTCTTTTTTACATGTAAAAGCCAATGAGTTAATACTCATTAATAGTTGAAAGGAAAACATTTTAAAAAATCACAATTCTTTAACTATGAATATAGCTGTCTAAATTAGCTTTATGTAAAATCTTAACAATAAAATAATGATTGACTTGGGACCCCAAGTGTATTCGGTATTGTTTTGGTCTGTGTTTGTTTTCCTGCTCACCCACAAACATCACTATTTGTCTGAAAGGTTTCTGTTACATATATGAGGTTTATTAAATGGTTTAAATATGGTCATGTGTATTTACCTGAATACATTTACATTTTGCATATTTGGCTTTTTTTGCATTTTGCTAAGATAGCTGAATGCTGATGTTCATTCTTCTGGGCAGAATAGGAAGAAAATAAGTTTTTAACTTAAGTTAAAATTAAAAATGGTAGAACACCTTTCACCTAAATATTCCCCTAAGCCTCTAACTAAATCTTTCTTGTGCATGTTTTTTATTTATGCTGTTGCATCTGCACTTTCATTCTTGTTATCAGCCATAGAAATGTCAGGTTACAGTTCCCTGGGGGTTGCTGTTTCAGGATTTCCAGACTGAGAGAAGGAAAAATTGCTGAAAGCCAAATATACATACATACAGATATATATATATATATATATATATAACCCACTCTCTGGAGGTTCCCAACATGGATTTTTTGGTGTATGTTTGCATCTTCAGAGTATAAGCATCATTGAGACTTTCCTAGCACTTGATTTAAGCACTTAAAGCCTCTCTGATCCCTGGGAATCCCAGGCTGCTGTGTTCGTGTGTCTGTGCCAGCACAGGGTGAAATCTGCTTAGGAAAAAATGTATGTGTGTGCATGGGAAGTGTCAATTTTGCACTCCAGTTCTCCATTAATGCAGTGTGTCTGCCTTTCCAGAGCCAGCAGATCTCGGTGTTGTTTCCAAGTGCAACCCCTGCCTCTCCAGTCCGTGTAAGAACAACGGGACGTGCAGCAGTGACCCAGTGGAGCTCTATCAGTGCACTTGCCCTTTTGGTTTCAAGGTATGACTGCAGATGAGCTACATGAAAAGCAAGAGCATTTCCCCTTCCCTGCTGGTCTTTTAATTGTTGTACCATGTCAAGTTTAATTGTCACGCACCACGTCAATTTTACAGGCGGCTGGGCTCAAAAAATCCCTTACTCAGGCACTGTGTGTGTGACATTTCAGCTCTGCCCCTCTACAAATTCTACCCCCTGCTGTTGGAATGGCATTGCTTTAATGCTTCAACCACACAGATCATCCTGAGCAACTTGCTCTAGCTGATCCTGTTTTGAGCAGGGTGGTTGGACTGGACACTCTCCAGAGGTCACTTCCAACCTCGGGCGTGCTCTGATTCTGATTCTGTGATGTCATTTCATCCTTATGGAATGGCAAGTTGGTTTTATCTTCCTTTTAGTTTCTTTTCTTTTGCCAGCAACAGGGCAACCACTTTTTAGGCTCCCAGGCCAAAGAGGAGGCAGTTCAGATGAGAATTAAGAGCCAGTTTGGTCCCTGGTGACAGGATGTTGATACCTGCTGGTTTGCATCCGTCTCACACAGACTGACTAAGCAGAAAGGTGATCACTGATCAGACACAACCCCTAATTCAGCTGTCTCTGTCTTTGGAGCACTGATGTCCACAGAGGGATCTGCACATGTGAGTCCTGTGGATGCCAGGCATTGTGGGCACGCAGTGCCAGCTTCCTGATAATGCTGGAAAATGGGCAAATCGTGTCATTGAGTAATGGAGGCCCTTCAGCACTGACGTACAGCTCCCCTTGCTCACACTGCATTGTGACAGCTTGAGGATACCAAGACACTGCCTCAGAGCTGATATAGCTGGAAATTTAACTCAGGAGCCAGTAGCTGAAGGATTAAGTATAAGTAATAAATGAGGCATATGATCTGTTCACAGCCTGGAGGGTTTGGATGTTATGGCCAAAGAAGTAGGCTGCATCCTGCAGACTGGGATTTTATTTGCCTCTTTGGATGTTTCCTACAGTCTTGGTCAGTTGAAGCAGATGCTCATAAAACATGAAGTAATAAGAATTATTACTTTGGGGAAAAAAAGAAGGGCAAAACCAGACATACATGTGGGAAGTAAGCACAAGGATCCATGTGTTACATTTGAGGTAGGATTTAGGAATTAATTGGTTCTGATGATATCACCATTTCCCTTTTCTGTTTGCCTGGGATACATCCCAGAGTAATTGTGGTAGATCTCTGAAACGCTGGAAAAGGGAAGATGTCAAGCTCATTTTTTCTTGGCCCCCACGCCTACTACTCAAGAATAATAACAGTTCCCCTAAATAATTGAAAAAGCCATTGGAAATTTCCTGTCATTAAAAATCATTCTGCCCATTGGCATATCAACCAGCAACTTTTCTGGGATCTTAAAAGACCATATTGTCAAAAATTCATTTAACTGAAACTACTTGATAATGATCTGTTTATCTCCTCGAGTTAATAGAGGAACAGCCATTTTAATTTTATGTTTAACATGAATTAGGCTGAATTCTTGAGATGGGAATTCGAAAAGTAAATTATTTCAGAACTAGGAGAAAAATAAATTAATCTTTTTGTATGTCTTACTTTGAAGGGCACATGTCATGGAACAGGTATCCAAGTTATGAGCATCTTTTTTTTTTGTCCTTAGCTTCTTGTTTGGTGGTTGTTTTGTTTTGTTTTTTACAGTACTTCTTATTCACAAATTCTCTGGTATAGATTCATTTGAACTGCTAGAAGTTTATTAAGTTTGTATTTATGAGGGGAGGATTCATTATCACGAATCACCCTCTGGTGATATTGGCATTTTGTTGTGCATTAAACCTCAGGATGCATCTTTTTCCTTGGAAAGGGTTTTGATAAACGCTTCAAGTGACCCAGTTCAAAGATCTCAAAGAGCATCCAGCTTTTCTCCTCTCTCACACACTTTCTCAGGTGACATCAGTGTGTGAATGAAAAACCCCAAACCACTTGTGAGCTTGTAAGCACCGAGCTGTCAGCCAAGCGTGGCACAGAGCAAACAGACCAGGCATGGCACTTGGAGCAGGGTTTAAAAAATACTGCCTGGATAACAGTTCAGGGAGAATTGGTGGAAATTTAATAATAAGAAAAAAAAAAAAAAAAAAAAAAAAAAAAAAAAAAAAAAAAAAAAAAAAAGAAAGAAAGAAAAAAAAAAGAACTGTGTGTCTTTACCACAGGTTTTTGAATAAAAATGAAGTATGACAGGTCCAAATGCAAACCATATGAAAGGAGCACTCTATCTACCACGCAGTTCTCCACCAGAGATTCATGCTAATTCAATAACAATACCTTGCTTCCTTCTCACCAGCCAGCACCAAACAGCTCCATCCATCTGGAAGCTATTTCCCAGACCTTGATAAATTGCCCTAAATCTGCCCTCTCAGCATTTGTTTTTCCTTGTTTGATGTAGATTTTCAAAAAAATCCTGTGTGGAAGAGTGCATCAATAAAGTGAAAAACCCACCCATTTTTTTTCAAATGAAAGCTGACGGCTTTATAATGTTCCCTGGGTAGAGACAGTGCTCATGCCAGCCTTCAGATAAAACCAGTGGGCCAGCCAGCAGAAAGCCACCTAAGTTTCCAGTTGCCAAAGTGGTGCCTGATGAATCAGGGTGTTCTATCAATTAACTGCATTCTCAAAGGCCTCTAGTCTGATTTTTGTGATCACATTGACGATGACTCCACGTCTGACTTTTCATGCTCACAAAAATGTTTTTGCTGTTGAATGTGTTCCTTTTATGGGGCTTTTAGCAATGTGCAGTGCTGCCCTCGGTGGTCTGAGTAAATTTAAAAGTGAGATAAGTCATGGACCACCTGAGCTGCGAGGCCAGAGGGCCCCAGTGGTGTTTGATGAGGACAGAAATAGAGATTGCTCACTCAGGAAGGGGCAAGGCTGTGCTGATAACAATCTTTGCTGCTGCTCTTTCCTTAAAATGGGTGATGAGTGTGTTTGCTGTAGATAAGCCATGGTTGAAACAGTGCTGTCGTGGTTGTTCTTTGGGGTGGAAGCCCCAAAGAGCAAGAGCTGGTGGGAAATTGCCACCTCTAGCAACTGCCAGGATCACTGCCAGGAGCTCCAGGGTGCCACCAGTGCTGGCAGGAGGTGGCTCTTCAGGTCACAAAACTTGTGTTTTCAAATTAAACACAGGCATAGGTGTAATTATCCAGCAGGCTTTTTTTTTTTTTTTCTTTTCACTCCATAGCATTCTTTGAACGATTATTTAAATAATGTGTGTGGTTTAGATTGTGAAGTGTGATTGCAAGTAGAGAAATGGAGCTTTCTTCTGCTGGAAATGCTGCTGGCCACCTGCAGAGCCAGTGTGTGTGAGTGCAGCTGGGGGCTGGTAAATAGATAACAGCACTGTACCAATCCATTTATCCTGCAGAGTGTGTGGCTTTTAAGTATTCCCACTGATATCGCAAAATTGAGTCTATGGGTGTTAGAATTCAACAGAATAATCAAACTTGCAATCAATAAGCCATTGAGAAGGGATTCACTTGAATAGCTGTAGTAAAAACTGAGGTAAGTGAAACCAACACAATGTATTTTGCCACTGCTGCATTCTGAAAATGCCCTTTTGGGGCTTTTTGGCTCATTTTTGTGTCTTTTATACGTTGGGGTTTTTTTCTTAAAACTGAGGTAAGAACAAGTGAAGGAGAATAGTTTCCTTCTTTCAAACAGAATTATTTGTAGAACTGAGGTAACAGTTTAAAATACATCTTTGTTTTATCTGAAATGAAAGAACATTGCCAACCCAGAACAGGAAACACAGTGCCTACCTACAGCCTCTGTGATTGCTCAGGTAAAGGAGCCAGAGCTGCTGGGATGCAGGGATGTTCATCAGCTCTGGGTTCTGCTGTTACTGAAAGCTGTCTGAAAGGGAAAGTGAAGATAGGTAAAATTAGCATAGCCCATATCCCACCATCAGCACCAGTTGCTGATGTGTGTCTGTGGTAGTGTTGCTCCCTAGATTTTATCCAAATCCATTCACCTCCCTGTTGAGTTCAGCCTGTGTCCTGACTTCTCCAGCAGCACTGCAGTATCTGGGGGGTTCAGGCAATTTCACCAATCATCCAGAATGACAAATACAATTGGAAAAATCCTGGGTAAAGCTCTTGGGCTCTGGAGAGACAGCACTCTTTGCAGCCAGACTCTTGTGGTGGGAGGCATTTTAGTGAAGCCAGAGTGATATTTATTGAGGAAGCTGGCTCCAGAGTTCTGCTAGGAATTTGGCTCTTCCCCCTCTCCACCCCCTAGGCCAGGTTTTCATCCCTGAGAACACGGTTAGAAATTGGGGGTCTCAGAAGCGAAAGCCTCTGGGATGTGCAGGATTCACGTTTATCCCATGTTGTGCACAGACACAAGTTACGTGCCAGCACTCGAGTGGATCAGAGCAGCTGAGCAGGAGCTGTGGCTGCTGAGCACAGGTTATATCAGTGCTGAGTACAGTCTGTGCCACTGGCAGGGACCTGGTGCTGCACTGACTTTATCATTCCCTCCTGAGGGTGCACATGGCCTTGCCTTTGCTCAGAGCAGGGGTATGGGAAGTTTGTGTTTGCACTTTGCCATGTCCACGTTCTGTAGCGTTGCACAAATAATCCATCAGAGACCTGCAATAACGGCAGTTTAAAGAGAATTCAGCGCAGAACTAAGGTAGGTATGATGGTGTTTGCCCATCCACAGACACTCAGGGCAGCTCTCACAGCTCAAGGGTTAGACAGTGAGTTTATTGCAACGGGGCAGTTTCTCAGTGATGCTGATTTGGGTGGGGTTGTGTGGATGTTGTGTGAGTCTGTGCCTCCTTTATTGGGCTAATACTGCATGCAAATGTAGCTCCATGCTGTTGTTTCTTTGGGTCTGTTAACATATCCATGTAAGTCCCATATACATCATGCAGTGCACAAATAAATCCCCAGGTTGGAACTGCAAAGGGAGAAGAAATTGGAAGGAACTCTTTACCCAGCCTGCCCTCATCCACATCAGCCAGGAGAGCAAA